TTAAAAGAGGTTGCTCAACACTGGGGTTTTGGAAATTGACGATGACTTTATTGAACATGAGTTCAGGATCAAATGTGGCAGCATTATCCCTATGCCTGTTGAACAGCACGTAGAACCAGCAGAATGTGCTGAAGCATACAAGATGATTTAAAAAGGAAATTTTCCCAAACAGTTTAACCCAAAATGACTTTTAATTCACAAACAAGTCCTCTCAAAGAATATTGTCTATCAAGGCCACATTTACCAGGGCTTATTAGATGTTGATTGAAAAAATATAGATGTGTATCTTATTTGTAACATTTCTATCCAGTATATGCCTCAAATTTGCAGTGAGTACATGTAATATATTAAAACTACAACTGTGAACGAAACAGTAAACTTATTTTTAGAAAGGTAATTTGTACTTGTTATTTTGACTTTAATGTTTTTCGGCACATGTTGCAGATACTACATACCATATCCAAGGATTAGCAGTCAAACAATAAACTTTATGTCAGTAGAGTGATTTCATTTAACCCGTGAAACAACATCTAACAGTTAGTGATAAATAGTCAAACTCAACAAAAGAAAACAATGGAATTAGCGTCTGATAGTACAGGTAACTAATTGTGTTGTAACTATTTCACGGGTTAAGTAAAATCACTATAATTCATTACTTTTCCGCCACCCATTAGACCAGAAACAGGGCCTTTATAGCCGCATGGAGATTTTTAAGATTTCCATAATAAATCATGTATCAATACTCAGTGAAATGTCGCTGATGCAATGTTCACAGAACTCAAGCTGTTTTTATAAGGAAACAACACAACCGACTTCAATCATTATCTTAACAGATCACTGTCTACATTGTGAATATTGTTAAACTGCGACATAACAAAAACTTTGTAATAAAATGAACAAGATATATTGCGTGACGAGCCAAAAGAAAGACTGTGCACGCGAGGAGGCTATGTTAACCTCTATGGCGTCTTTCCTTTTCAATCTTAAGCAAACTTGTTAAATCTTGCGGTGAATATTGCATTCCGTTTAACTTGAGAATGGCTTCAATGCGAAGCATTTGCAATAAAAGTTACATGTGTGATTGACTTTAAAGTTTTGCGTTCGAGGTTGGCGGAAAGGTTTCCTGTGGTGAAGAGGACTTCGTTATGGCAATCTCAGGGTCAAATAGCCCATATCCAACCCCCTGCACAACCACAAGCATGACTTCATAGTTTGACGTCTCATACGAGAAATTCCACTAACCCTAACCCTAACCCTAAAACCTTGACCATACCATGGTCTCCAAGTGAAAATAATTCAGTTAACCATAGTAGTGCCAGACTTGACGACCCGACTCAAGTTAGTATGGTTGATACGGAAAGGCTCTTTGGAACTAGCTTTCGCTTGGTTTTCTCGACTTTGGCCTGTTTTATACTTGGGCTTGGAACTGACTGGGGCTGTTCTGTTTTCTTTTCAGAGTTTTCTCACGGTGAGTTAGAGTACCTTGCGTGTCGTAACTCAGTTTTCTTCTCCACACCTTCGACCTCAATTTCATCAATGAAGTGAACATGGATTAATTTAGTGTCTGGTATATTTTGTTTAACTGTGCTACACGAGGGGCCTTGTTCGCCGGCCAAGATATCACACACCATACCAGCTCCTACCTTTGAAGCGAAATGCCTTGAACACGCTTCCTTGATGTTTTAGATGGTCAGCTCTCTAGTTTCACTGAAATCAACGAACTCCCTTGGGCCGATTCTGGTGTATTTCTGTTGTTTACCCGCCACTTCTGAACTTAAACGTTGCACAGTCAGTTCGTCTTTACAGCTCTTTTCATCCTTGCCTTTACCTGCACGTGTATCCACTCTCTTTCGTTTCATTTCTGCTTGAAACGGTCTTCCACCATTTATCCGCCATTTTGAATTTATGTGAACATCGCGCAAGGCATGCTGGTCTTGGCAGTTCTGGGCCATGGTGAGTTTTCATTTTAAGGTTATTCCTTAGTATTGCATTGCGCATCCTTACTGCGCATGATTTCACACTTAATTAGCGCGCGCACATTAAGAAAATGGCGGCTTTTCCTTTACGGCTAAGCTCGCCAGAGAGATGAATCGTCGTTTTCTCGTAAACGAGTACGGCCGGACCTATCAATTTTTTCTCTTATTTTGAGTCTAGCAATCACCTTCTTTCTATAAAATAAATATAGACTAATTTCTATTGCAGAAGAATAAATAATCACCGGAAACGTGAACTTAGCTAATAAAAACGTTTCTGGAAGCTGATATTGTAAGGAATTAAGGGGTATATACAAGGTCCTCCTGTTCCTAAACGAATACCGGGACCCCCTTTTTTATTTCAAAATTTAAGTTCCCTTAAGATAAACAACCAATAGGCAAAGTTTGAATGAAAATCTATTGTAAGTTCTATTTCGATGGAATGACCTTAATTCGCTTTTCATTTGAATTTGCTTTTGAATTGATTTTTATTTTCATTTGAATTTGCTTTCAATTTGCTTTAGAATTGATTTTTATTTTCATTTGAATTTGCTTTGGAATTGAGTTTTATTTTCTTTTGAATTTGCTTTCAATTTGCTTTAGAATTGATTTTTATTTTCATTTGAATTTGCTTTGGAATTGATTTTTTATTTAATTTAATTTTTTGCCCTATACTGTGATTATTGTTAGCAGCTGCGCGAATATATAGTGCGCTTAGTATTCCAATTCAGTAGTTCGCGAATGAAATCATGGTACTGCTGCACATTACACTGAGCGATAAATGTCATCAGTTGATAAACAGTACAAACTTTGCACCATAAAGTCCTGTCACATCCTTGGAAACTCACCGATTTTGTTTGAACACGGATACACTTATCAAGACTTACAAAGACTGATCTGCCAAATCATTTGTTTTACTTTACATTATTTATAATTATAAATAGTCAGGCACCTTGTTTTCTTGTTTTTATTCTCACTGAATACTTTTTTTAGCTTTTCAGTTAAGTTTAACATTTTTAATTACTTTGACGTGTTTCAACGAAATTTTTCGCACATGTTTTGCCGCAACACCATACCGTGACTCGATATGGTAACAAGGCACGTTCCACGCGTCAGATGGTCTTTCAATAACACGCTGATGATAGAAGTTAGGCCCAGTTTAGACGCCGTACTTCACATGAGCCGAATCAAATTCGAATTTAGACCGACCCAAATTAATTTAGACCGACTGAATTGATTAAGACGCCGAGCTTAATTCAGCCGAACTTAATTTAATAGGGGAAAATTGCTGTTATATTGAAAAATACATTATAATAATTCATGCATTTGTTTCGGCTCATGTGAAGTTCGGCGTCTGAATCAAAGCCGGTCCACAGCCGTTATTCCCGGCTGAGTCAGGCGGGAAGAACGGCTGAGCCGATCCGAATTCAATCAGCCGTTTCGAATTGATTCAGACGCCGTACTTCACATGAACTTAATTCATCGAATTCGATTCAGCTCATGTGAAGTACGGCGTCTGAACTGGGCCTTAGTCATAGCAAAGCAGCTGTCTCGATTCCAAGCAATGTTTTCTCAGCATCGCCCAGAATGCTATTGTCTTTCGCGACATGTACTTACATGTACTCTGGCATACATAAGGACATCGGTAAATAATGGAGACAAGCATTGAAATATTGTCATTTGTTGTGTAAACCTCTCAAATATAAGAAATATCCAAGAAAAAAAAAACCATTAACACATGAACCCGCAAAAGGAGTCGAGCTCCAATTTTTATCTTTATCTTCCACACTCCTTGGTGGTCATGAGCAGTGATCTACATCTTACATTTCATCCTTCTACGACGATCACCAAGGCTATATCAGCTGTAGCTTACTTACAAGTACATCGCCGGATTAAAGCCATGTTTCACAATTTGCTACGTTTGATGAACTCAAGCGGGCAGTCCGAAGATAATTCAACCATGGAAGAAGGCGTTCAGCTCTTGGTGTGTGTTTCGGCACCGTTAGCCATATTTGGCTTCGTTTTCTATGCTTGTCATTTTCTGTTTGGGAGTCTTTGGTAATATTTTTGTTATATTCACAGTTTGTAGACAATCCAAACTTCACACACCGTTTAACTACTTGGTGGTTAACCTCGCTATTTCTGATGTGTGCGTATTTTTGTTTTCCTTGCCCCTTGTTGTATTTAGCGAGTGCTTTTCGTGGCCGTTTGGCGAGTTAGCTTGTCGCTTTTCTCGTCCGTCATTTCTCGTTTTCACTGGTGTGTGCTGTTTTGTACAGATGATAACTCTGAGTTTTGAAAGATATCGAGCTGTGATGAAGCCGTTAGCACCGAAAACTGACACGCAAAAATGCGGTTGAGGGTCATTGTTTTAATCTGGATTTTGGCGTATTTTATATTCGGCCTCCCAAGATTCTTCGTGTTTGGATTAACAACTAAGAAAGGAATTCTACAATGTGAACCCTAATTAGAAAGAATTTTATTATTAACACTGTGACGAAAATCTGGCGCATCATCTGCACTTGAATCGCACCTTGTATTGCTGTGTCTTGGGCGTATACTCGAGTAATGCGCAAAACTCAGACACGATCTCGCTGTCATTGGAGACGCCTTCGCTTCACGTGACATGGCGAGGTCACGTGCCAAGAGCAACATCAAAACGATGCGCCTTCTTGTCACAATCGTTCTTGTCTTTGTTGGTTGTTTCCTGCCGTTCAACTTGACTACGTCACTTAACGCTCTTGATGTCTATGACGAATGGTATTACAATGAAGCGATTGAGAGTATGTACCGGATGTTACAAGTGTCTCACAGCTGCTTCAATCCCATCATCCTCTGCCTAATGAGCAACTGACTTTCGCAAGGCCTTGAAAAACATGTGCACACTTCAGTTAAAAGGATTAAATGGAAGAAGAAAGGTTTATGTCTTACAACAAATCCAACAAAGTAACAACTCGACTCCCTCTGTTGATTCAGTTGATACATATGTGTAAGCAAAATCTTGTATAGAGTTTGACAACCTCAGGAGCCCGGTTAGCTCAGTCGGTAGGACTTTTTAATCTGAGGGTCATGGGTTCAAGGCCCATATCAGGCGACTACAGATTATTTTTATCTACAATTTGACTATTTCAACGAACATCTTCGGGATGAGCACAACGAGACAACACTAAATTTGCAGGAACATTTCAGGGTACTAAAGAAATGCCGCGGTACATCTGGAATGTCTCATCTACGCAATGCTCCGCATTAAAACAAGAGACCGGAATTGAACACTCAATCAGGACTCAATTCGCGCAAAACTTTTTTGTTTAATTTTGTTTTTGTTTTAATCAATGAACAATCTGTCATGTATTATTTACTCTTATTAATTTCGCAACATTGTATTATTCACATTTTCACACTTTAGTCTTATATATAATACCTGTAAGACTTCCAAAATTTGCATTTGAAAATGATGACATGTAGTCGTCAAAACGTCATGTTTTTAACGTTAACATTCCTTCTAAAATGTTTTCCTAAATCTTGTTTTTCTGTGAACACTGAACATTCTTAACACTAGAAGAAACTTGCATGATAAATAGCAGCTGCAACAGACCCGGATAGGACATCAGCTCCACCACCAGCTCAGTTTATATTGCAAGTTTTTGCCTTTAACAAACTACAAGGGCAAAAATGCCACCATTTTTTCGGGTCACTGTAGCGGGTAATCGATAGTTAAGCCCATATTTCCGTGTGCGACGACACGAACGTTTTTTAAATAACTTTTAGTGTCTCAACAGTCGAGCGGGATAGTTTTTATTCGCGAAATAAAACATGACATACACTAAAAATATGTAATCATTAATTTTTAATTGACTACTAATTTTTACAAAAAAATAATAAATTGAAAAGTGTTTAGCTATGTTTCACCAGCAGCTATTTATTATCCAAATAGCAAATTAAAGGGTGTGGTCATGTTAGACCATTTCCAAGTTTCATGTTTCCTCTGTTTCCAGATGCAAAACTTTTCATGTGAAAATGAAATTTATTCACATGTTCATTTTCAATTCAGATCAAACTGAGGCAAGATACAATCGGGAAATGGCTTATTATCCTGTAGAGTAAGATAAACATGAACATTATTCTAATGAAGCTAAGTGTGACTTACAAGTTAAATTAGTCATAAACTGGGCTCTTCTGTTTGTTTTTCTCGGAGTCAAAACTTGTTTGTTCAAACAGAGATATTGGACTTCTGATGGGCTTGATAAATTATAGTATCGGACTGGCAATGTACGGTGGTCACGATGTCAACAAAATATTAAGGAGCCAAAATTATTTGGGTGAAATAAAAAAACATGCGCATTAGCCGCCACTAAGAAAAGTATTTACCATTATTCATTTAAATTGTCATTAATTTCTACTTAATTTAACTCGCTGCATTCGCTAAACTGCACTCCCCTCTTAGATAATGTTATATATTCAGGAACTAAGCTGCGTCACTAGTGGGCAAGTGATAAACAAGGTAAATGATAAAGGTCCAGAGTTAACCGCCGAAGCGAATTTGGGAAGCTGACGTTTCGAGCGATGCATGCCGGAATAATTTGTCAGGTATGATCGTCAAGCATGTTAGGAAAGGGAGGGGCCGGAAACCCCGTGAGTAACGGAGGTAGGAAGTCTACGACAGGTGGGAAATAGAGGGTGGTAAGAGGAATTCCCAATGTGGCGGAAAACCGGAGATATTGGATTTTTTCTCAAAATTGCGTAATAATTCGCAATAGACAAAACACAAAGAGGAGTGAGCCACTAAAGAATGGACGGGAACCGGGGGTACATTGTATTATGCAAGGAAAACGGGACGGAAACGGGATCAAAACTTCCCCTCGCGCGCAAGCATTGAATCGAAATAAAATCTCAAGAATTCGATACAAAAACATAAATATAATGCTATTAGTAATAATCAAACCAGAAACGCATAAGGGTTAAACTGACACTCATACATACATGTGAGCCCGGTTAGCTCAGTCGGTAGAGCATCAGACTTTTAATCTGAGGGTCATGGGTTCAAGTCCCATATCGGGCGAATGTATTTCTTTTGTTTGCTATTTCGGTTAATTTCACAAAAATACGCGAAAATCGGTCCATAGAAGGCAAAATAAAATATTACCTGTATCGCGCAATTCGCACGTTGCGAAAAAAAAATTCCACGAACAGTTTAGCGCGCTGCTGGTCGGCGCGCTGCTGGTCGGCGTGTTTACGATGCGTTTGGCGGAACGTTGTAGTCGAGAAAATAAAAGGCATTTTACTGACCGCCTTGCAGCTTTCATTTATAAATTACCTGGTTTTTTTTCTCCTTTTGTGGCTGTTACATACATGTTCTTTGAGCGAGCAGGCTCAGTATAAAAGCTGTTTCAAGATGTTTAGTGTTAAAGTAGGTTGATTTAATTAGCTCAAGGTTTTTCATGCCTCGGTGCTGCATTTTAATTCATATATAACAAGTAAATTAAAGTTGAGCTCGGTTTGAATTTAAAATAGATATAATTTAAAACAACAATTGCATGTTCAATGTAAAGAAAATAAATTTTAAAACAACTATATCATAAAACCTTTATTGGATTCGACCACTAATAAAAAATGGTTTCAACAGTGTCTTTATTAAATTCGACCACTTTTGTTTTTAATGAGTCTTTTTTCATCATCATCTGAAGAAGTGGGTGTTTGAAACCGGCATAAAATGAACTGATCACTTAGCTATGGGAGAAAACTTGATGACTAGTGGCGCAAGCTACTGTTTTTCTCAATTACCACCGATTTCGCCACAGTGGATCGTTCTTTCATTATTCCATTTTATGATATTGAAAATATTATAAATTGAACATATAATAACATAATAAACAGTGACTCCCAACTGGTGGGAGGCTAACCAGTTGTTAGAATGTATTACTCCAGAATCTGTCCTGGTGCTTATTATCTTATCAGCTTATACTGCTGTTTGGCTATTGAAAGCAATAAAATAAACGACTTTGCAAGGTTTATCTTTAATAGTGAATCAAATTGGACTTATGACGAATATAATTTTAGACGAATAACTCAACTAATCTAAACTTGGCCGTCTTGTGATCCGTCTAAAGTGAAGTAAAAGTGGACGGATTAAATAAAATAACTAGTTCCTGCATTTTTAAACATCGATTATCGGATCACGCGTTCAGCTTAGATTTCAGCCTTAGATTCAAAGTTCTGCCTGTTGGGAAATCCGTCTGCATCCGTAGGCTAGATATATTCAGACACTCGGAAAATTTTACACCGATTTGTTTGTAAGAAACATGAAAATATATACCACGCAACTAAGCAGATATAAAATAATGTAGATTATAATCATACGATTTAGATTATCGGATACCAACTAATAAGCAAATATAAATAAATTCCCAATCTTCCCGAGAATTCCCGGCGATCTGTAATACGAGATATATACTAGATTACAATTATAATTACTTTTTTAAGACCAGGTGGTTTCAAAGACAAGTCTAAAATGTTGTTTGAGAAGTTGATCTCGATCTTCCCCTGTTTGATCTGTCAGTTCCATCACAGATACCGACTCCTGGCGATGTTTTCTGCGGCATACTAACTTCTTGATCGCGTCTTTAAGTTCGCGGTTATACCACGTCAATACAATAGGGTTTATAGCTGAATTAGCAAACATCAGACACAGGAACAAGCGCATGATAATAGCTGGTACTCGAGATTTGAACTTACTTATCGTCAACACGGTGAAAAACGGCATCCAACCGGCAAAGAATCCAAAATCCAATCAAAATGGCGACCATTCGTCCTGCCTTCTTTTCTCTCAATGACGACGCTCGTGCTTTTAGTGGAGGACTCGAAGTCGTTTCACTGACTGTAGTAGATACTTGTAAGGCTGCTATCTGTCTCGCTTGACTTCTAGCGATGATGTATATTCGATAATACGAAAAAGAGATGAGTATTGCAGAGATGAAAAACCAAAACAGCCACTCAGCACTCATGTATATAACTTCGTTTTATAAAGTGCTCGTCGGAGGGTTTCGAAGCATTTGCAATAAAAGTTACATGTGTGATTGAGTTCGAGGTTGGTGGAAAGGTTTCCTGTGGTGAAGAGGACTTCGTTATGGCAATCTCAGGGTCAAATAGCCCATATCCAACCCCCTGCACAACCACAAGCATGACTTCATAGTTTGACGTCTCATACGAGAAATTCCACTGGGATATCTACATTTTGACCATACCATGGTCTCCAAGTGAAAATAAATTCAAGTTAGTAAATTTGTACCTCTGGATAATGATTTTCTAGCTTTCTGATTGGTTCCCTCCTCTATGGATCTGAGCCATTATCCTTAAGTTGACCAAATATGGAAAAATGATGAATTTTTTGTACTTGTATATCCAACAAGGGCGAATGGAATAACTGTTTGATTAAAAACGTCACTAGCTTTATGTTAAACTTCGGTATTACTTTTTAAAAATTTATAAATCGACTGAGTGATTTTTCAGTTTAATCTAAATGAAGCATGATTTGTATGAAAACGGCGGCAAAAACTGCTGGCGCGGTGGTCCGTTTGCAAGTTGAATAAAAAGAGAGCAAAACAGAATTTTAAACTTCGCTTCTGTGTCTTCTAAAGTTTCGTATATTCTGGAAAATTGTGCAAATGGTTTAGCTTAAAATGGGAAGATCAGAAATAATTGTGGAGCTGAACATTATATTCATTTTACAAGTTGAATGAACGGCTGAACGGGTTGTTTACGGCGAGCAAATCGTGCACGACTACAGACTGATTCATTGTGTTGAAACCAGCGAAACTGAGCCAGTTAAAATCACGTTCACTGAAGTAAAAAGCAAAGGAAAGCGTCAATATCTACATGGATGGAGAGAAAAAGAGTGATGTTTGCAAGTCTGATAATTTCACTGTGAAGTGGTCCTCCTCGATTGTACCATCACCAACGCTTGGCGATCGATCGACTGCGATATTTTATGCTTTCTCGTCGTTCCCGATATTTATTGTGCTGATTTTAAAAGCTTACTCCAGCTGGAATTGACAAGCCTCTTCGAAATACAAGGTAACAATAACTGAATAGATTAAG